AGTAATTCTCGTATTTATACTCTTTCAGACCTTTATGGGTGCGAAAGATTTTAGTGCTTGAGAGTAACTTCATTCACTTCACATGCATTGATCAAGTATTATTCAAATTGTAATAACGTCGATTTATATTAGCAAATGCAACTTTACAAATCTTGCTTAAAAATCTAAAAAAACAACCCAAGCAAGAAATTATCAAAGTTAACAGTTCCTGTTTCGCGCATTACGAAATGGCGTTACTTTTGCTTATCTGAAATCTCATAATATTGCGAAAAATGCCCATTATTCCATTGCTTGTCTATTGTTTACTCTGCGAGGTGATAAAGTCCCATTATGATGTTCTTATCAGTGTGAACACATAAATAGGGAAGTGGGCTCATGATGCCATTATTTCGGCGAACTTTTGATTTTGCGCATCAGCCAAGAATCTGAAATTTAGTATCGCAAGTTTCAAGTTGTATAGGCCTTCCAATCCTCCTTCAAAGTGCCTTCAGAATTCTTGATATTCGCGTATTTCTTTGCATGAGACCGTCATATTGTCAAAATTCGACATTCATTGAAATATCATGAGCGCACTCTCAAATACTTTTACAATGGTTTTTTTATTAGTAGAGTTTGGAGGCAAATAATCAGGAGCTCGGAACGTACAATCTACTGTATTTTCGCTGTAAATTATGCTCGAAATTTACCAGAAATATGACAAGAAATAAGAAACATGAAGGAAATAAGAAGTTCGTATTCTATCTTTTTTGTGAAGTCTCTCGGAACTGCACAAGCTATATATTACAAAACAAAATTTGGATATTTTGCTTGAATTTTGTATGAAGATATTGAACGATCAGATGCCTCAAAGCAAACCCCCTTTTTTAACAGCTTCTAATCCCACAGTTAGTCAGGTATCAAACAATACTTCCAGAGCTCTATGGGATTCGCCCTGTGCATTCTATATGACATCCTTTTGAGGTTTAGACAAAACAATTTGCGCCCATGATTTTTTTATAGTTGGGGACAGTGATGTTTTGCCCTCAAGGCTTTCTACTTGGGCAGTACAATACCACCCGTAATTTGTGAAAATAATTGGCGGCGGCACTTAACTCACGCGGCGCCGCCGCAGTTAGGTGGCAAGCGCCGCGTCGCGCGACAATGTTAGGCGGAAAAGCGGCAATGGCCGCCTAACTTTGTCGCGCAACGCCTAACTTTTTTATGAAAAAGACCTTATCTTGATTCAAAATTTATGAATTCTATATATAAGAGTACCATTCAACTCAGCTCGGCGAGGCGCATCTTCCAGTATACAAATGTGCCTAGTTGTGGGATATAGGTTTTTTTTCTTGGAATTTCAGAGTAAATGGATCATTCAGTGTGCTGATTCCAGAGGCTACCTACACATTCTGTTAAGAACTGCAGAAATAGGGTGGGTATAGTTTGAGAGCTCATTCTGCACGGATATGTGTAAAACTGGGCTTTTCTCGGCGAAGTATGACGGGTCCCAAAATGCAGGAAGACAAAGGGGAATGGTTGGAAATCGCATGAGAAGCACATATCGTGGAATGCCGCGCGTGCTGTGCAGTGCACAATACCACCCACACAACGGGAATTTCCAGAATTCCAGAAATTTCGCGATTCCGGAATATCGCAAATTTTGCAGCGCCATAACTTCCTTCGGAATGAATATATTCTAACCGAAAACAGCACTGTGTTCAGTTCGTCAAGGCGAATCTCTCGACATACTTAATGTCATCTATATCTCGTTTCCAGTTTTCTCAAATTTTTCTGAGGAGGTCCCTTCGCAACTTGTAACGCAGCGCCAATCCAACATAAAAGATTTCAGTAAGTGCCATTCGATAGTGCTCTTCTTGTGCACTATAGTGCGCTAGAAAGCTGCCGCAGTCTTCTTTCCAAAAGAGAAAGAAGCGTTGGTAAATTCTGAAAAAATCATTCGTTTCCAGATTCTAGTCGCCGTAACTTTCTTTGGAGTGGAAATTTTCTGAATCCGAAAAAGGCATTGTGCTCAGCTCATTAAGGCGAATCTTTAGTTATGCAGAATGTCCCTGATATCTCGATTTCAGTATTCTTCTTTTCTTCACTATTCTTGAAACTTTCTGCGGACTTCTCTTCGCAAAGGTGTAATGCAGCGCGTATTGCCCCCAGTAGATTCAGAAAGAAAAGTTCGATAGTATCTCTTCTGTAGATTATGGGGCGCTAAGAATTAGCCGCACACTTCTTTCCAAAGGAGATAGAAGGGCTGGTGAATGGAAAAATCATGTCGTTCTAAATTTTTTTCACTGTAACTCCAAAATATGAAGCTCTCTTGCTAAGCAGATGTGATTTTCGTAATCAGCAGGTCGGATAACCCTTATGAGCAAGTTTTCCGAGATGTTCGGGTAATTTCATTTTTCTCGTTTTACGCTCTGAAGCTGGCCGATGGATTTGGTCAAAATGTTCATGCTCTTAAATTGTAAGGAAACTCCGCTTATAGAGGTTTTCGGACAGACTCTTTACGAAAACCGTGGTCTTTGGGTAATACATGGTCTTTCTGCATAGATATGATGAGGTAACCGTAACGGAGTCACGAAAGTGCGTAACTTTGCCCGCACTTCTCGCGTATCTGTCAGAGAACTTGCCCGCTTGCGTCTAGAGATTAAATTCACTGGGAACTGTGCCATCGAATGATGCATGCTTCAGACTCCAGTCTACAGAAATCGCCGAGTTACGAGCCTACGAAAATACATCCTCATGAATTTTGCCCAAAATGTAAAGATCGCATATTTCGTCGAAATTCCGCCGTGAGTGTATTACTCAAAGACCACGGTTTTCGTAAAGAGTGTGTCCGAAAACCTCTATAAGCGAAGTCTCCTTACTTTAAGAGCATGAACATTTTGACCACATCCATCGGCCAGTTTCAGAGCGTAAAACGAGAAAAAATGAAATTACCCGAACATCTCGGAAAACGAAAAGTGCATGATTTCCTCAAGAATGCGCGCAGTCTTCTGGAGACAACTTGTTTTCCTCAAGGTGTTTCCTTCGTTGTCGCGTCTCCCTTTTCGTGCGCTGCTACAATGTCCCTAAAAACTTGCAGAAAAAGTCGTCTCCGGCTCAATTTTCTCACTTGTTTCTGAAGCAATCACAAAGTTTTTAGCGAGTTCATTTCATGATTGAAGAATGTGAGACGTTGACACACCACATAGAAACAATTATCGAATGCAGGAGAAAATCGCATCAGAATTGAAAAGTAGAGGAAGGAGGAATTTTAGAAACAAAGGATTTACTAGAAATTTTGCTTAAAAATTGGGTGGAGCTCTGCAAGGACTCAGCATTTTAGCAGATCTTAAGCGTTCCAAGATGTTGCAAACGAGGAGAGCTTAAAAAACCGCAGCAAACCTTAGAGGCAGTGTCTCACCATATGGGGTAAAATTCCTATGCAGCTCATAGGGGACCCTCTTACTGGACCAATGCCCAAGTCCCAGTCAAAGAGGCCTTTCTTACACTGAGAAAATTAGGCTCAAAGTGGCTCGCAGAGCACATTTTGGTACGCTTGTCCGTTTCCCAGTCGCGTTTTAACACGTCTTTCTAAGCGACAACATCATTCTTGACGTGTTCAACCCTGCGGCCAAGACTAGAGTGAAACGGGTAAGCTCGTCCGCGTTGCTTCCATGCTGGCTTTGGATACAGGGTCACTGGGTTTTTTTGCGCAAATTAGAGCTCTTATAGGGTTATGCAAGATCAAAAAGACTTGTATTCCGCGAAAATCCCAAGACACAAATTTTGATAGGAAACTGCCTTTAAAGTCAGCGTTAATCGCGCGAAAAGTAGAGGTGCGATAGCAAAGAAAAGATGTGAAGGGAAACAATCTTTGAAATCTGGAGCTCTTAACACGATGGACCGCGGAATCAAGGGATGGATACTTGGTGGCCGTGGCCATTGGTAATGAGACACATATCACTAAATGCCCTTGGAATGCTTATTACATTGCTTTCAGACAGCTTAGCAGATGCTTTCGTATCTGCTAAGCTGTCTGAAATAAGTTACGTGCTTTTTTCCCGCATGATATCTGCACATTAAGGCATAGACAAAACCCTAGATATTCACGTTTTTGAGAATAAACGCAACTAACACAAGATAACCAAACTTAGAGTGATTCTTCAAATGGTGTTTCGAGGGGGGAATAAGGAAGCAGAGCGTTCAAAGTTTCGATTGATTAAAATGGTGATTCTTATAGAAAAAACGTTCAAAACTTATTTCGTTTAGCAGAAAGCGAAAGCAGGTTTGAAATTTTTTCTAGGGCGCATCTAGTGATATGTGTCTCATTGAAAACTGCACGGTCACCAAATATCTCCCTTGTAAGTGTTGCGTTTCACACTTCACTTGCACCTCCGCGCTCATCATTTGACGTCATTCCTAGTTTTTTCTAATAAAAGCGGGGCTATTTAGCTACTTCAAAATTGGGCAGCAAATTTCAAAGTCGTGATTTCTCTCAAACTTAGTCTATGAGTTTTATCACGCGATTTTCACTAATATCTCACGTTTCTCGCACAAAAACGCCTTTCTGTGTTGTTGGTGGGTATCTAAATAGTAGACGAGTAAAGATCTCTGCTCAAAACTTTGTGTAAGAGAAAGCGGCTTCAGCATCCTGACTATTGCTGTAATTTGGTTGTGACTGAAAGAGTCTCTTTGGTTGATTTAAGTGGATAATGCAATGTAATGATAATGCACTATGTTTTGACCAGATTTGAGTTTTGATCCAATCCGTCCATTATTGTAATATTAGCGCGCTTGCTTGCAAAATTAACATGATTATTTAGCACTCTGATCACAATTTTTGTGATCAGCTTGCTAGATATCGTGTCGGCCAAAGTGAGTAGAACAAAATGGTTACTTTCATCTGAAGTGAGCAGCTGTCAGTTCGTATACTCCTTTGAAAACATTCACATAAATCATTTGTAAAGTTATGCAATAGCTGTATGGTGAACAATTCACTGGAATAACAAAATGATGTCGAAGATTCAAAGGATGCCAGGACATCTGTTGCACGTTAATGGACATTGCTCCCACATTATCTGTTGATATGCTGGATTTGCGCAAAGCGCTGCCTTACTGGGACAATCCGAGACACCAGTGCGTGGGTCCACTCGATCAAAACAAGTCGTAGTCCCTGAGACTAACAATCAGTATAATTTTGTTGGAGTCGCTCTTACCAGGGTTAACTGATACGACAGGATTGACTGGAACAGGATTGACTGGCACTGGGTTCACACCACCTGGATTTGGTAAAACATCGGGACACCGCCCGCATGTCAAAGGACATTGCTCCCACATCAACTGCTGATACATTGGGTTCGTGCAGAGCGCTGCCTTACCGGCACAATCCGAGACACCAGTGCGTGGGTCCACTCGATCAAAACATGTGGTGCCTAAAAAATTATCAACAGTGCAATCTAGCATCGCGTGTACCCGCTGTAGTAGTTGGTACAGGAAGATACCGGAATACCATTGACTGGCCTGAGACAACTGTGTTAATTCCACCAGAATTTGGTAAATTGCCAGGACATCGCCCACACGTCAAAGGACATTGCTCCCACATCAATTGCTGATATATTGGGTTCGTGCAGAGCGCTGCCCTACTGGCACAATCCGAGACACCAGTGCGTGGGTCCACTCGATCAAAACAAGTCGTAGTCCCTGAAACTAACAATCAGTATAATTTTGTTGGAGTCGCTCTTACCAGGGTTAACTGGTACGACAGGATTGACTGGAACAGGATTGACTGGCACTGGGTTCACACCACCTGGATTTGGTAAAACACCGGGACACCGCCCGCATGTCAAAGGACATTGCTCCTACATCAATTGCTGATACATTGGGTTCGTGCAGAGCGCTGCCTTACCGGCACAATCCGAGACACCAGTGCGTGGATTCACTCTGTCAAAGCATGCTGGAATATCGTCCTTATCTTTCGATTAAAAAAGTTGCAAATGGTACCTTGCCTGATTTGTCTATTTTTATGATAGATATGTTCTACCTAAAGATGGAGTGTACGTTCTTCTAACTAACTAATCTAAACGAAGATCGTGCTTACCTCGTTTGCGGTTCGAATGAGTGCAGTGTTTACGCATGAAAGGAGCCCTACACTAAATAAGTATACCAACATGGTTGAGGGCTAGCTTGAATTCCTTAACTGAACAAAAATACGCTTCTATCTGTTTCCCACTTTGTGGGAACGGCTGCAGTGACGATGCACACCATGTGTTTTATGCGAAGCCACATTTCGACTTCTATGAGCTCTTGGCAAAGCGGAAGCAATTTTCTAGTTGTCTCACGATCTTTTTGGCAATTTCTCAATCATAGATGTAACATATATTAGCGTCGCGCTAAAGTTTAGGGCACTTTCAGACGAGGGAGTAAACAGTAGAGTGGACTGGTGTAAGTGGTGCAAATTTATGAACGTTTGCTCATTGTGCAAATACCATCTGTCTTTTTCATCTGATCTGTTCCTCTTCCCCATCATGATATCACTTCTAGGCAGCCGTCTGAAAAGTGGAAGTAATTTGGAAAGTCTCCTCTAGTTGCTTTTCCGTAGTACAAAATATCAGTGTGGGCCCTCGTGCGCTGATGCGGCGTTATTCTGCCTTTCGTTTGAAAAGCAAATATGCATGTCGATGAGTGAAGTCCGCGATTTTTTCCACGGTTCCATTTTTCACATAGGTTTTTTCAAGGTTTGTGATTCAGGAAATTGTGGCTTGACCCCGGTCGGATCAACTTCTCAATTGAAATTTGCTGACTTACATTTAGCAGTGTAATCTGGCAAAATTGCAGACGCAGTGCAAGGAATGCGTTACAATATGGACGTAGCTATCCAGCTAGGTTCATAGATCGTAGCTGGATAGCTACGATCTATGATCTAAGCTTGAGCGAGAAGTTGCGGAGGGGATTCCAACGCGTTATTAGACTAGCGATCCTACGGGTCGCGCAGCACTTTTGCATAGTGCTTAGCTGAAACTGCATTTAACTGAGAACGCGTTTGCATCTCTTTTCTAGAAAAGCTTTATAAATGAATCAAACTTTGCAGATAAACACAAAACACATAAGATCTAATCCTTCCTTCCCAATAGCGCAACCATAATAAAGCTTGCTTTTTGTTACATCGATACAATCAACATAATCACTTTCCTATCAGGACTGAATGAAACAAAAACAAGATGGATCTTTACTACGGGAGAAATGCGTTTTCTGTGGCGCAAATTTCGTCGAAATCGAGGTCTTCATGAAAATTGTTGGGGAGAAGAAAGTCTTTGCTCCAAAAACTGATCGGCCACAGAGAGAGAGTTTGCCTATGCTCCAGCGGGACCACAGCTTCCATGATGGGTTTTTGCTCCGGAAGCAAATGCAACTTCTGCGGCGTGATTTTCTTCGAAATCGAGGTCTCCACAGATTTTTATGATGAAAAACAGAGTGTTCTGCTCTAAAAACCGAGAGTTTACTATTGTTGGGTCCTAAATTCAAAATTGCTAAACAAGCAAGTTCATGAAACAAGTTCAAAATGGCTGAATGAGCAAAATTTAGGATACAAGTATTGGAAGTACTTTGACTATCAGGCTATTATTTAGGTATGCACCTAAAGTTTAAGCGAGGTAAGATTTGTTGGTGATAATCGGAATATTGAAAGAAAGACGTGAACGAGGCGTTGATGATTCAAGAAGACGAGACCAGAGGGGCACTCGAAGCGATTATATCAAAAGACGTCGTATGTTAGAAGGTGCAATCAAAATTCACAATTTCGCGATCACCCTCTCGTCTCGAGCTTGTCTGCATCATAGGTATATACCGTTGTTCTCATTTTCTCATGATCCGATTTCTATGCAAGAGAGTGCGGTGTCTCGCACGCTCACATTTCAACAACTTCCTCACCCTCGGAAATACTTGCGAGGAAAACTGAACTCCTAGAACATCCGGGGCGGACGCTCCTATGGGCCGTGTGGGTGGGCTCCGCCCTACCTGGCCGCGCAATACCTGGCGGCTCCAATAGGAGTGTCCCTCCGGATGTTTTAGAAGTACAGGTTTCCCCGGAAGTATTCTGCGGATTGTCTGAGCCGCAACATAGAAGGGGGCTTCAGGATGGGAGACCAAAGGAGAATTTCTTTGTCGCCGGATGTTCCCAGTTTATGTGTAAGGATTTTTCAAAAACCATCCTTCTTTCTCATTTACATATATACCATAATTGTATTCAAGGTTATTTCAAAGGTTTAGCTGCTATTCAACCTCTTCATTAAATCATTTTGAAAAAAAAATCCGTAAACTTCATTACATCATCAGGAAGAATCTTTTTATTAGGTTGGTGCAAAAGTACAGGGTGGAGCAAAAGCCTGAGAGCCCAATATCTTTCCAGATAAAATCAGAAGGAAAGTACCTAGAAACACAAAATTTGGTAAAGAGTGAACCGAATTAATAGCGCCGCTCTCAAATTTTGAGATTGCCTCTTTTGGTTTCAAAGCAGCCCTTCACTGGCAAGTCTATCTGTCGTGGCACACAGGCGGTCGAAATGAAATTCGTCTCATGCTTTCATGACAAATGTTTCTTTCATTAGGCAAATGCGCACTATGATAGATTAAGCTTTTGTTTGCAACATGTTTTACGAAGAAATTTTTTTGCAAAATTTAAGAAAAAAAATTTGGAATTTCAAGTGAATTCAAGTGTACTCGCATAGTGGAAATTTGGATGCGATTATTGCGCGACGACAGCAAAAAATTACAATCTAAAAAGTATGGAAATTGCTACATCTATCAATTTTGAATGGACGCTTATACAGAAGACCCATGAAAAGAATACAGCCTAGTACTCGGCACTTGCTGCGCTTCTATAGCTTTGGAATTTCAATGTAGAGACAAATGGCCTCTAACACGCAGGTAATATTCGTAAATTTTTATTTGCGTTTTCGAAAGAATAGTCTTTGGTAAACGAAGTACTACGATGTGATAGCGCAAAGCCTCCTCTACGTTGTGTGCATCAAAATTGTAGAATGTTTACAGTATCTTTAGCTACGAAATAAATTGTGAATACTAAAAATGATTTTTTCACTCTGCAGAAGCACTTACTTGATAAAGCCAACTCTTACAAATACATATGGCAAGCATTTTCAGCTATGTAAGGTGTGGTTTGTAGAGACTAATCGCAGTACTATGTAGCACAAATATGGATATAAAATCATCAGTAATGTCGTGATTCACAACACTGCAAACTCGGCTCCCAGACTTTTGCCCCACCCTGTAATGCGCATTTTTCTAGCCTTTATTTTAAAACAACTTTTCTCCATCAGACTTTTTTCTTTGGAAAATACTTAGCACAGTATAAAGAAGCAAGGCTGAGCCTAGCGCATTCCATATCGGAGGTGTGCAAAAAATTTCTGTTTTCGGTAGTATTAGGTTGTCAAGAAAATAATGTCCGTTTTTATTTGCTTGCTTTAACAAAGCAACCAGACTCAACCCAACAAAGGGTAAGGGGTACTGTTCGATAGAGCAAAGCAAGCTCTACAAGATGGCACTCATGTCTTTGCGCCATGCTCGATCCACGGAGAGTTCGAACTCAAAATCTAAAGATTTCCAAATGCCCAAAAAATCGAAAAAAATCAGATCTTCGTCCAAATAATTTCTACGGACCTCCCACTCGCTCACATCAATACTATCGATATCTGATATCCATATGTGCGATTGCCGTATTTTTTCCTTGACTAGAAACAGAGAAAACGAAAATTTCCCTGATTTTCTCAAAGCAAAGCTGAGCCGTTTTTGCATATGTAATTCTATACTACAGGCCTAGGTAAGCATAACTGTAGGTTTTCAGCCTATTTTGAGCGGTACTTTTCGAGAAATGTCGATTTTAGCACTGAAACTGAAACGAAAAAATCCGAATTCGTTATTTTTCGAAAACTACCGCTTGGAATGGGCTGAAAATCTACAGTTATACTTACCTAGGCTTGTAGTATAGAACTACATATGCAAAAACGGCTGAGCATTGCTTTGAGAAAATCAGGGAAATTTTCGTTTTCTCAGTTTCTAGTCAAGGAAAAAATACGGCAATCGCACATATGGATATCAGATATCGATAGTATTGATATGAGCGAGTGGGAGGTCCGTAGAAATTATTTGTACAAAGATCTGATTTTTTTCGATTTTTTGGGCATTTGGAAATCTTTAGATTTTGAGTTCGAACTCTCCATGGATCGAGCATGGCGCAAAGACATGAGCGCCATCTTGTAGAGCTTGCTTTGCTCTATCGAACAGTACCCCTTACCCTTTGTTGGGTTGAGTCTGGTTGCTTTGTTAAAGCAAGCAAATAAAAACGGACATTATTTTCTTGACAACCTAATAGAAAAGGTTGAAAAATGCATTGTTCTTGCCACAGGTACTTTGAGTAGGTTCAATCTTTTGCAGAAATCTCTTGTGAAAAAAATTTATCCTAATTTGAGGCTGGTCTAATCAGTCGATTACTGGCTACGACGGAGTTTAAGCTATCCTACTATATTTCATCTCAGATAATCTTACATATAAAACTGAAATGTCTGTCTGTCTGTGTATACCATATAGTAAGTTCCAAATAGAAAATGAACCGATGCAGAACAAAACATTTCTAAACCGATGCGGACCAATTTGCACATGTACACTTTGGGGGAGCTGATTATCGTAGGCTACTCTACGTTATCAATCCATATTGATTTATCGACTTTTACAAAACTTTGAGCAACTGAGCCGAGAGTTGGCATGCGAGGGAAAACGTAAGTGAGCATGGTGATAGCGAAAGTAACATCAAATTGGAATGATACCTAATTTATGAATTTCATCAATTCGTGCAAAGTCGAGAAACCAGAAAGTCGACCATATTCCGTACGCTATTCAACTATACCATCTAATCAAGTCCTACTACAGAGGCAATTCAATGGACAAGATCAAGTTGAGCCTTGGTGTTTGACAAACATGCCTTCACAAAAGCTGTCAAAATTGTCCTGCAAGATTCGAATGGGAGGCAGTAATGGCAGTTTTGCAACCACCAATCTTTGTATGAGAAGATTTTAAAAGCTGGTTAAACTTTTGGAACAATTTCCGCTGGTTTTCCATGACAATCTAAAAGGTGGCACACAGGTCAACAACGGAAAATATAAGGGATTTTTTGATAAAATTCTT